AAGATTGTTTTTTTTTAATATTTTGGAGTCGAACATGTTTTTGTTTTGGAATGTTGCGTTTTGAATGATTTTGGTGTTCTCTTTCAGATGGTGTTTTTCGACAATTTTGGAGTTGTATACATTTTGTGTTGTGTCGTTCTTTTTGCAGAATTTTGGAGATTTATAAGTTACCATTTTCAGATGTTTTCTAGATAGTTTCGGAGTTTCTTTCTAATACTGTTTTTCGGGAAATTTTAAGCTTAACATGTTGATTGACATGTTTCTTCGAAAATTTGTGACAGTCAAAGGAAAAAATTTGAAACTTTTCATCTTATAAAAATAATAATATTATCAAATTAAAATAAATATAAAAGAAATGGTATTAATTTATAATAGGATCGCTAAAAATGTTCGAAATGAAAATAGGAGGAATAAAATAAATGATTTTAATTAAAGAGCTTGATGATGGGGGTAAGAGATCAGAGAAAAGTTCATTGCTATACACGACAATTTTAAACTTGTAGAATCTACTTTATTTGACTTTATGAGCAACGACGATGACACCATCTTCATTGCTTCTCACGTACAAACGATACTTACTTACATTACTTAATCGTATCCATGTTTATTTACAATAGTAACATGTGTTCACGTCAATTCTGTCGGCGTAAGAATATTTCACTAGAATACTTTATTGCCAGGGGGAAACCGAAATTCCGACAGAATTTCCGTAATTGATATTTTCCTCTCGCATAAGCGTAGACCGACGTTTGAGCTGTCTAGAAGAGAAACCTAACCGAATTCCCTCCAATTTACAATGATTATCAAAAGTTCCTTCGATTCTGGAATGAAAAGTGAAATTCTTGGCTCGATTTTCCAACATTAAAATACCGCAGTTACACATTCTTAACAATAATAATACTGTGGACCATAATTTGACTAGATACAAAACAATTCATACCTTTTCTATACAGAATTGCACCCTAAGAATTATTCGCTAATAAATTATCAATTTCTCGTTAATTCCGTTTGGAGACAACTGAACGAATTCATCCGGAGGGTTGATTAAATTAATTTCGAAATATTGAGAAAATAATTGAAGAATGACTAGGTCCTATCTGGTCTTAAATACTAAATAACACTCGGACTCAACAGTTAAGCCCTGAACAGTCTACTCGAACGTCGAGCTGTTCTTCGATGTCCTCGGATCCTCCGGTGTCCACACTTTCGCGTACATTGTTCCGTTCGGGGAAATGTCTGATTTCCTGGACCACGAGAGGGAATGGAAAATGAAGGGATTCCCCTCACTGCCTGAAATTCAATTATTGGAATTGTTAACAAACAGTTAGTCCACTATATTTTCTGTTTCATATCATCCTACGGAAATTAGTTTGACCTCAAATATCAACAACAGTTTATATATTTATATAATTTTACTTCACTTTACATAATTTGTCAAATAATTGAATAAAAATAGCTTTCATAAAGTCAAAATGTTTTGAGATGTTGAATTTCAAACAATCTTGAATATTTATACTTGAATGTTAAATGTTTGTAGCTGTCGATATTTATTATTGAATATTTCATTGCAGACTACTTCTAATACCTGTCATCAATGTTTTTACAAATCTGACAATGTAGTATTACTCTGTTTATTTACTCTTAACAACTCAGTATGTGTTTGTATTGTGCCTTTCCCATAAAAAGTTGTTACGATAAACGAAAAGAAATTTCACTTAGAGAAATTTATAGGTAAAATAGAATATTAAACAAAATGAACATTAGAATACCTTAACACTTTCACTTCTGTACGAGAAATAAATTTAAGAATATGTCCATCAGTTACACATTACACCAATAAATTAAATACCTTAATATACTTCACTTTTCCAATATTAATCATTAATTATTTATATCTACGTAAAAAGTTATTATATTTATTTATAATCATTAATTCAATCATCACAGGAATTCACCTATTATTAAGAGTTGTTTAAATCTAATGACATTTTCTTTAATATTTCTATTTATCTTTTCAGATCATTGAATTCAGATCAGTTTTCCAAGGACTCTTAATAAATTTGCCTATTGTTGAGAGTTGTTTAAGGTTAATGATATTTTCTCCAATATTTCCATTTATCTGTTCAGATCATTAAATTCAGATCAGTTTTCTAAGGACTCTAAACTTATTACGAATGAATAGAACAGGGGTCAAGAGAAAAGTGAGTGCGATTGGTATTGGCCTCACCACGAACTATGACCTTCTCTGCGTCGTGGCGGCCGGACAACCTCGAGAGTCCTCCATTTCCATTCAACGTGTCGTTTCCAGTGTCTGCTCTGACTAATTCATTCAGGAACTTGATATAACCGATGGCTAGTTTTAAAGTGTCCACTTTAGACAGCCTCTTCTCGTAAGGGAGCGTTGGTATGTGGGCCCTAAGGCCCTCGAACGCGTCGTTTATGTTTTGCATACGCCTCCTTTCCCTCATGTTCGCTGCTTGCCTCTGTTGCACTGCTTGCCTTGGACTTTTCTCTGATCCACCGTTGCGTCTGTTGCTCTGACTTCTTCTGGAAATAATCATTGCGTTTCTATTTTTCATTTTTACCATTGCGGTTTCTTTCGTTTGAGTTCGATGGACAGAGTTTAGTGGAATTTAGAATTTCCAGCTTGATTTATTTATTATTTACGTTACTAGAATCTTTTGGTAAGGGAGGCATTTTTGGTTAGCACGTGTTAGAACTGATTCTTTCTGATTCTAGAGTTATTACGGTTAGTTTTATTTCTTTGTGCTTTGAATTGTTCGATTTTTATCAAATAATTGTCTCAGACATTAATACGTGAATATGTGTGAGGACATTTTAAACTGAATTAAATTGTATTTCATATGGCTAAGTGTAAAAATATTTCAAAGTAAATGAGAATGTATTTCACATGTTTGCGTGGAAAAATATTTGAATTAAATGCACTGATGTTCTACATGTCTATGTGTGAAAATAGTTCGAATTAAATTACATTATGGTTTATATGTCTGTATGCAAAAATATTTGTTATTAAGTTATATTATATTTCACATGCCTGTGTGTAAATATATTTTGAATTAAATTATATTACATTTCTCATGTCTACAAGTATAATAATATAGTATAACCCAGTACTACAGAGAAACTACACTACAAAGAAATTTCGATAGATCAACACCCATTAGTACCTCGTTCAATTCACACAAATGCTCAAAGTATACAAAGCAAATAAAAAATAATATTGATTCCCATTCGTCATACTAATCAATTAATTAGTACTTACTCTCTAGCATGATTCTCCTGGTCACTACTATATGTACTCTCATTGTCACTGCTATTCTCGTCACACAAAAAGATCTCGCTACCACTGGAGCTTCCAGTACTACCAGGAGGGTGAGATGCCAGTTGCGACGGGATGGAAGGCAAAGTAGCTGTCATAGGTGCCCCGCAGTGAGATGGCAGAGCTGGGATCGCTGGGTTCCCCAAAAAACTGTGCGCCTCGTAAATGTACTGTCGGTTCATCATGTCCAACTCAATATTGTCCATGGAATACATGTTAACTAGTCTTCGTCTTCACGTCGGTTAGGGTACAAAAACACTTCTCAGCCTTTGGCTTCTTATTTTTCTGACTAGGATAGTTGACTAGATGACTATCAGAAGATTATTATCATTATTACATTATTCCCACTGTATTTTCGTTCACTGCAGTCTTGAAATCCCTATCCCACTATTGCCAGCAGCTATCAGAACTGTTAGCTGATGGATTACCTGAGTTTGAAAGTTTTTCCTAACACTAGAATCTATTTGCTGAACAATTCTCGCACTGTTTACTCAATTGCACAAGGATTAGCCGATCATTTCCAACGGAATTCCAATCCACACACCTTCGATCACGTCCCGAGGATCTACTGATCCTATCAGCGACACGTGCCCTCGCCGCGTGTCGGGGAATACTTCTAAACAGCGGCACGTGTTGTTCGAGGACCAGGACACGTGTCCAGATTTGTCGGAACAGTTATCGAAGTGCCCAGCAACAGACAGGAACCGGAAATATTCCAGCGGTCTTTCTGGTTCCTATTTTGTCGTAGTTAGAGAACTTAGGATCACCGGTCTTCATTCTTCAAACTAGGTCCACGAATTTCTAGCTTCATCTGACTTCACAATCACCATACACAATGTTTCTTCAGATCTGTTCACTCATTGTTTACTGCTTCAACCTGGGATGACGGTAGTTTTCTATTATTATTGTTGTGAAGTAAATATTTAAATTTTCCACGACAGATTTGTTCTATGTTCTACTACTTCTGACAGCACTTTAAACTTGGTCACTCGTGTACAACTTCAATCCTGAAGGTTAGTATTCTTTGTTTAGACAAATATTACTTCGTAAAAAATATATCTCTAATAGTTCCCTTTCATTTTCCTTGGCCTTCTGCAGTTTGATCATTGCTTGCAGCTTGAACTTGAAAGGTAGGTATTCTTCTTGTCTTCAGTTCAGTATCCACAGAAAATGGTGTCTCTTTAATGTTCTTTCATTTTTACAGCTCCACGGATTTAAGTTTTGGATATGAACCGTCTCATTCTTCTATGGATTTCACCAGCGAATGTGACAAACAGAAAATCCAGCAGAGCGGAAGTGAGGATAGGTTCATGTCCTAGGTCCTCGGATGAACATTTTGCTTCGGGTGATCCAGGAGTACTGAAAGCGAACTGTTGGAGGGAGGCGGAATCCATACCCGGGGCTGCAAGCTCGAACGCCACCCCATTCGTCGAGGTGGACGCTGGCGGAGCCTGCCACCCCTGTTGCCAGGGTGTCGGTTCCGCCTCTTCATCGATCTGATAAGGAACAGCGAGGCTCCCGCTGTTGGATAACTGGCGGAAAAGTCGTGGAATGATAATCTGAATTTCGGTGAATTTGTACGTCGAGCTGGCTGTTGATTCATTATTTACACGCCAGTTTTGGTTTTTTGATTGCGACAAGTATTATTCAGGTTCTTGTCTGCATTAGTATATTTGTAACATGTACTTTATAGGGAGGCTGTACTCTAGTACTAGTAATTCTACTAGTAATCTGAATTTCGGTGAATTTGTATATCGAGCTGACTGTTAATTCATTATTTACACACCAGTTTTGGTTTTTTAATTGCGTCAACTATTATATTTAGGTTTCTGTCTGCATTAGTATATTTGTAACATGTACTTTACAGGGAGGCTGTACTCTAGTACTAGTAATTCTACTAGTAATCTGAATTTCGGTGAATTTGTATATCGAGCTGGCTGTTAATTCATTATTTACACACCAGTTTTGGTTTTTTAATTGCGACAGATACTATTTAGGTTCCTGTCTGTATTAGTATATTTGTAACAGGTACTTTTACACGGAGGCTCTACTAGAGTGAATACAGGTTTTTAAGTTTTGAATTATTAAACCATTGAATATCTATCAAGAAAGTATATTTGTCGTTAAAAGTGACGGGGTTGGTATTATTACGTAAAAGCATTAGTTGTGTATTTCGATGCGAATGTAAATTTTTGTACTCCTCCTTTGAATACAGTGTTTCAATTTTGAATTGTCACACCGTTAAATATCTTTCAAGAAGGTATATTTGTTTTCAATTGCAATGGGGTTGGTATTATTATGTAAAGAAATTAGTTGTGTACTTCGATGTTGATTTAAATCTTTGCACTCTGTAATTATTACTAATTATATAAGTACACGAATTGTCTGCTATTTAAATGCAATAATGAATTTTGTAACGTAAGGAATTATTTAAGGAGCAATATGTCTCATTGTGACGGCGATCAACAAATTTGTACTATAAAAAAATATGTTTGAAGGATATCTTAATATTTAACCCCTTGCCCTACCATAACGTGGTAGACTCGCGGTGAAGATTTCAAATATAAATATTAATCAGTTCAGCTTGAAAATAAATTACATTTTATTCCTCTGTTATCAATGATTGCACCTCATAGTACACATTTCCATAGAATAGAACTGGAATTTTCCCTTATTTTCAATAATTTATTCTTAGATCGATCAAAGTTAAAAATAAAATCACATGGCAAGGGGTTAATTAAAAATGTCGATAACTCAGACACAGAGGTCTGTATTATGTCGAATTTTGTATTCTGTACCACCTTAAAAACAGGTTTTTTTTAACAGAATAATAGAGGAAAATTTCTTTTTAATGTATGCATCCTGTGGTATCGATATTCTTGCAACGGAAATAGGGTGAAACTTAAGGCTAATAGAATTTCACGGTAGCCAGTGAAGAGAGCATGAATGAATCAAAGGTGTAACAGCGAAAGAAATTGGAGGCACGTGTCGTAGCACGTGCGCTGGGAATGTAAGGGTTCGTCGAGGGTTAACCGCTCCGGCGACATTTGGCCCTGCCGCAACGTGTAATTACGCAACCTGTAACAGGCGATCTGATTTCTGGTGCATTATTATGTTCCGTGGAACCTGCATTATTTATTGAACTCTGCTGTCGCAACAATATGCTCGCTGAAACTCTGTGTCGCTGTCACGCATGGAGACTACCTTTTTTGTAACTATGTATATATCAGATATTTTTTGAGAATTTCATAAGGAATTTTTTATTATTAGTTTTATTATTAATTTTATTATAAACTGGTGTGTAAATAATGAATTATATTAACCAGTTAATATACACGTCATCTTAAAACGCAGAATCGTACTAATTTTATCAACGATAAATTATTTATTTGTTTCATATAAACGTGTTATTCTTTTTTGTTTCGCTGTGGTTCTTAGAATATATTACGGATGCATTTGCCCTACGTTTGACGAGTGTACGCTTTATTATTTGATTTCATTACACGCACAATGAGAGATTTTTTTAAACTAAATTCCACGGTTAACTAGTTGATATATCGTTTGAATCGATGATTTATCCTTGTTCTGAATTTTTATTCAAACTGTTAGTAATGCTAATGTACTGAACACTAGCCAGCTGAGAACACTTACTTCTCTTGAAAAACATGCGTGATATAGAAAAGTACGTCAAAGAAGAACTATAGAGTATTTAGAACATATCATGTTCTTATTTCTTTGACCTTGAGACAACTTTGGAATCACCTGCAAATGTCACGTTAACATTTTTAAATAGAACATTTTATTTTGTATTAAATATTCTTATTGCTGAAGTCGAAACGTTTCAAAGACACAATAAAAATTTTATTTTTACTTAATTTGTTGAAATTATTATTCTTTTTGTATTGTGGTTGTTTCGACTTTTCCTTCATTTAACGCTGTATAAGAAATGCACTCCTTCAATTTTTATAGGTACATTCTTTGTTCCCTAAGTTCATGTAATAATTATTCCAGCTTCGTTTATGTTATTGGCTGGACATAAAGTACTTCCCATTAACGATTCCCCTAGAAAATATCCTAAGCGTCCGTGATAGCCAGATAATTAACACACTGGTAATTAGGAGGGTTGCAGGGGTGAATTATTCGCTCCATCTGGTGTTATGTTGCAGTGGAAATCCAGTAGGAGATTTGTTTCCCACGGATGCAATTTAGATAGACACGAGCGAAATGATGTAGCCATGAGAAAAATTTATTCCCGTCCAGATGTAGTATATTCGTCTAATTTCGTTAATAATTACGAAGCACCGAGTTCTAACATTCAGAATATACAGTGGCGTTCAGAATTTTCCAGTCTGATCATTTTTTAAATTGAGTCCATGCCACGTCGATGCGCCGTTGTCATTAATGCAAAGGATATGGCCATAAAATACTAAATGTTAATATGTTAACACATTGCGTGCCGGCTAATTCTCAGAAAATTGAATTCTGCGCATGGCGATTTTTAGTGAGATCAACTTATACCACTATATATCGGAAAACTCAAATATCATATTGTTATGTAATATATTTTAAACATATATTCAGTTCTAATGAAATTTAAGATTTTTTTAAATGCTGTGGTAATTAGCAAAGGTACATAACTAAGTGTCTATATAAAAACGAGATTTCTTGCCGGTATATAGTGTATTCTATACATTAAATTGTTATTACAATAGGAAACAAGCATTATTTTCTTTTTTAAAGACTGTGGCCGAAAAACTTTGAACATGCTGAATGATTTATTTATAAAAGGATATGTATAAAGAATAAATTGTGTTGATTTTCTTACAGCAACTTCTCTTACAATATTTCCGGTATGTGTTGTATTAATAAAAAGTTCTTAAAGCTTTTATTGTGTAAGAAAAGTTCCAAAAACGATCTGGCTGGAAAATCTTGAACGCCATTTTACTTATGTTTTATGCATTATAACGATTATTCTATTTTCAACATTTCGTTTCTACTAGTCTACGATATATACAGTCTCTAATAAAAAAATTAAGGTTCTCCATAATTTTCTGAGGGTAATCATGGAAATAAACAGGCAAAATGTAGTTAGTATTAATTCTGATTAACTACTTATAGATATACATGTGTATCACATATTTCTATAGTAATTATATGCATATTATTATTCATAATGTTCTATTATTGACAATTTATTGTGCGAGCAGTAAAACTTATTTTTATATTTTCTTCATATGAACCCCATTGTAAATGTTTGAGTATACTGAAAACTCTTGTGTATCAGCTACAACTAAAGTAGAAGATTTAACACTAAAAGTAACGATCAATTAGTGTAAAATATTTCCATTTTTTTTTTAAATCAGAATAATATATTTCTTGACATTCGAAGTGACTCCTACTCTTGCATCTGTACAAATACACAAGTATTAAAAATCTCTCGCAAGAATGCCTTCATGATTTAAATACTTGTAAAGTAAAAATTCTCGACTGTGTCACTTTGGCCTGTCCAGTAGTTTTACCGTTAAAAGTAAGAGTTGTTGTAATTTGGCAAAACCAAAAAGTCGAAGACACGATTACCAAATAAATGTACAGTATATCGAAAAAAATGGATACTTTAATAAAAGCAGAGTCTCTCAGTCGCCATTTGATTGAACGCAGTAAAATCATAAAATGAGAAATTCAATATAAAATATTGAATAAGATAATAACACATGAAACATAGAAACAGAACAATTCTGCCCCATAATTTATGCATGGTGTTTCTTTGTGTAAGTTGCAACTAATATTGTTAGCATTTCGTCAGAAAATAATGGATATCTGTAATGAAAAATATTGTCGAGTGAGCTAAATTTCAGCTACTAAAAACGTAAGCGTCGGTGATTATGTTGATACATTTTTAAACATCGATTAAACGAAAATTTCGAACTTACGGAAGAAAATAAGGAATTCGATTTTGTAAATTTTACTTTGGATTTGCGTTAAACATATCTAAAATGTTACATGAACGTGGGATTAGCAATTAAACCATAGACTAAAAATCCCGCATTATCGCGGGGCCGGCGCTTAATGTATAATTAGTTAATCAAAGTTACCATTAAACCACGTCTTCAGACTTCGAATACCAGATTACAGCGAAAACTATAGAAAACTTTGGGTGAGCCTAATTTTTTTATCACAGTCTGCAGGTGCAGAAGATTGCGAGAAATCGATTTGCAGATCTCAAACCGCAGCCTGTTCGCATTTAATCCGAAACGAAAATAGAGGCTGGAGGGGACATGTCCATTGTACGCCGGAGAATTTTTGATCCTCGAGATCCGGAGATAACTAAAGGGGATCAGATTTAAATGGCAAATCCCTGAGCCACGTGTGCGAGCTTCCGATCGATTCTGTCCAAGATTTAACTGTAAAGGGATTGAAAAAGATTTTGTTGCAATTGAAAAATCCTTTACTTATCACGTGAACAGTTTGTCGAAGGTTTTCGATGATAGCAGATTCATTTGGCTACGACAGGATTTTGCGTCATCGCGCATTCCTAAGAAAGTGTACTGAAATCATGAATAATCCTGAATTGAACTAAAATAAACCACTATAAAATAATTATATAATACACGACTAACGAAAAATTCTCTCACGCCTGATCTAAACGAGTTTTGCTGCAACTATTGTCAGTAACATTTTACGGGCGCCTGTAGACACTAACAACACACCGAAACCTAGTTTTTCAAGTGCATTTACACTCTGGACGTTTTTCCCTGGAAATACTCAATACTTTCTAATGAGATACAGATGACATTTCTTGAAATTGACTTGTCAAGAAATTGCACGTATATTGATGAAGGAAACTAGTTTCTTTCAATATTTGATATATTGATGCATTATATAAAGTTTAATATTAAATATTAAATATTAAACTATCTTAAATATTAAATATTAATTATTAAACTTCACAATTTTGCTGTGTCAGATCAATTGGCGTATGAGAAGCGCCTCTGGAGTGGAAAGGACTAAGGTTTTCCTCGTATCTATTTCATTTAATATAGAATCGTCTATTTAATAATGAAATTATTTCCATAATTCTCATCTATTTAAAACTCACAAAGAAACCTGTATTACTCTTATCTTTCTATGAATTCTCAAATCCTTATTTCTTCATTTTCGAAATTGTAATGTTTTGATTGTCATTGTTCTAACCCCCTGAGACTTACATTAACATAATTTCTCCACTGAATCTTTTACTATAAAAATGTGCTCCTAGGTTCAACTGGAAAGTGATGACTAGTGATTTTCAGTTCCTGTATTTTCTATTTGGAGAAAAGGAAATAAAAAAATCCAGCAATGAATAACAACAATGCTCATCTCTCCTGGAAGGGACACCCGCCCCGTGTATAACCGATTTTCCATGGCACATCCTTGCACGCGTGGTTCCGTGTCTAACACCTGGTAGTCGGATCGTCCCTGTGAACATCCTGGTATATGCCCACTCGAACCGGAGTTCGGTCCCTAAGTGTCCATTAATTTATACTCAGCAGGAGTGTGAAATCGATTTATATACTCGCTCTTCATTCATTTTTGGGGTTTAATCTATCCTCTGTTCCGTGCTGTACACATGTATCACTTCAGCCCCAACAAAATTCAACGCTGTATACTGATACTAATGCAGAGAAATTTCACAGAAATTAAATTTATAAACGGAAACTAGCCTGGATTAAATATTGGTCCTTATAACACTAAAACTTACAGACTGGTCAAAATAACTGATTCCTTCTGTTTATAGTTATTAACACTAAAACTACCAGACGGATCAAAATGACCCATTCCTGATTCCTTCTTCTTGCAAATGTTAAAAAGATAAGAAATGTTTTTCTTAGAAATTATTAAAGAAATTAAATTTGTAAACGGAAACTAGCCTGAACCAAATATTGGTCCTTGTAACACTAAAACTTACAGACTGGACAAAATAACTGATTCCTTCTGTTTACAGTTATTAACACTAAAACTACCAGACGGATCAAAATGACCCATTCCTGATTCCTAAATCTTGCAAATGTTAAAAAGATAACAAATGTTTTTCTTAGAAATTATAAAAGAAATTAGTTTAGTAATGCACAAATTAAATTGTAAATCACTTGAAGTTTCAGTGGATGCACTCTTGTAATTTCTATACACAAATTACAAAATATCAATTTATATACTCGGTAGTCTTAGTGTTAACTGTTTAGGTATTGAGTGGTGTTGTGGCAAAATTACGGGGCGGTTCTATTTATCTGTGTTAATTATAGTTTTTTTGTTATGTTTTTCAAGAAATAAATAGAAGTAAACCTATTTGAATGAATGTTATTTTTTTATATTTTCTTTGTAATAATATTTGTGATCTAATTAAATAAGTACTTTTACTAACTTTTTTCATACACACCTATTAATTTCTGCATTTTTGGTATATATCCACAAAAATTTATTTAGCACTCAAACGGTTAAAAAGATGTTTCTGAGAAATCATTAAACAAGTTAATTTAGCAATTTGCAAACTGAATTACAGGTCAATTGAAGCTTCGATAGATGCAATATTAGAGTTTCTATAGACTAATTTCAAAATGTGAATTTAACTCGGTAACCTTAATGTCACAAAATTCTTCGGAAAGTCTGTCTTCAACAGAAATAGTCCTTATTCCTAGCAATATAATTATTTTTCTAACGAATAGACCCCAATGTACATCGAGTAAGCATAAATTCTAATTCACAAAGAATGAACCATTTCCCTATCATTTAGTTTATCTCTTAACATTTATTATTCCCTCTGTGTAAGTTGAAATTTACCTCCCCAATAAGTTCCATTCATTTCATAATACTGTTCGTGGCGACCAACAGTTTCGAATGTAATTACAGCAATTTCGCTTTAAACTTTCTTTAAAGCACTCCCGCGTTTCCTGTGAATGTTCCAGCAACAGCGAACGGTGTCGCTACGAAGCGGAAAATTGTACTATGTTGCGGGCAGCACACCTTGCGCAATATTTGTCCTATCACATCCGTTGGACGATTTAAGGTGTAATCAAGCGACCCGTTCGGATCCTGGGCTAATTTATCCATCAGCCTGTCCAGGCGAATTCCTAGCCACCTGTCTAATATTCAGTCTCGCATCCGTTTCCGGTATGCATGGGGGATGTTACCCCCTGCGGTGTCACCGCGACCCCCTGAACGGTTCCATGGTTCAGTTGCGCCACCTTCGCCCCTCGATTTGCCATCAGATCGATTTTCGTTATCGGCAGACGTGTTCCAGCTACCTGGAATTTTTTCAGCAGATGCATATTGGGGTGGATCGAAAGTTGACGCACAAACACGCATAATTTCCTAGCGCAGGAATAAGCCGAGAATTATTTTCACCGCTCGGAGAGATCGAGATCTACGTGTACAGTGTGATAGGGAGACGGAAATATCTGTCCAGCGATCTGCACGCTGTGAATGGATCGTTTAATTCCTGAGTGGCTGAATGCAATGCCACTGATCTTTCATCTTGCGACCTATCAACTCTGTCCTCCCTCTGCTGCATCATAATCCAATAATGCTGTCTTTTTTTTTAACTGGTCACGTGTTCGTACGTGGACATCTGTTCTTGATTGTTTGAATTGCATATTGAAAGGAAGTGATTCGCGAGGAATTCATGTAATCCATGCGAAATCGAGAACAATTGAAATTATGGAAATTTACGGCTACCGTTGCCCGCGAGTGTAAATGAGGAATGTTTCGTACTTCAGTTTTGAATTGCAAAGTGATTCCAGAAGTCGTGTGCACTTTATTTTGAACGATTCGGTTGAATTTGTTTTAGTAGCATACATCTGTGTACTTATTTATTCGTGCAAACGTGTGAAATTGATTTAGTAAGGGTAATTCAATCCGTAACCCTGTTCCGTAGTAAACTGGCTGCTGCTGCCACCTGCCAGCAAACGCGCAGATTACGAGCTTAATTTGCCCGTGTTGGGCAAATGCTCAAATCAATTTCTCTTGAAAACAAACACTGAACCTATGACACAGAATTTCATGCTCGACCTTGCATTCGGATTATAGATCCATCTGTCTTCAGTAGTATCGCAAAATCATCACCTCTGAATTATTCAATCAATCGAGATCAGTCTAGTTCCTCAATACCATTTTCATCTGATACGAGATGTGAGAAGAATCAAATACACCCGAGTTCCCGATTTGAAAGGTGTAACAATCACGGAGGAAAGTTCAGACTGTCGTCTGTTTCAGCATTGAAAAATCGCGGTCTGTCGACGTCAGCGCTTCTGAATACTTAGTTCGTCGCCTAGATGGCCTTCAGCTCGTTCTTCGAGGCCGGCCAGTATTTTTGCTGAGCTCAATCGTTGTTTACATCCCGAAGCCGCTGTCCGTCCAGCGATCCGGGGAGAGAGCGGAGAGGAGCGGCGAAAGAAAATTTCTTGTGAAATTCGTCGCGCTGGCCCCCCTACGGCACTATCAGTCTCCCATCAGTGATTCCTGATCGCTTGAACAGTGCAGATAACCGTGGTAAACGTGAGGCCGTGATGAAGGTAACCGTGACCACGCTCAGCGACGATATCTTCGTCCTGGACGTCAGCGAGGACCTGGAGCTGGAGAACTTCAAAGCGTTCTGCGAGATCGAGAGCGGTGTACCGGCTCACGAGATCGTGATCGCTTTCAATGGCCTGCCTCTGATGGACGATAAGAAGTCCCTTAAGGATTACGGGATCCGGGACGGTGACGCGGTGATCCTCCAGCACATGCACCAGAGCGGCACCGACATGAACCTTCACCCCTTTAACGGAGGTCAGCTTCAATACCGCTCCATTATTTAACGTGGCGATCGAGGCGGGTCGTGAGGTTAGCTTTTCGGCTTCGATTTACGTTTTCAGTTACTCTGTAATTGTACACCGTCGCTCTGACTGGTCTCACCGCACACCTGGGACCCTGTCACATGCACATGTACCTTGGTACGAACCTGTCCCTTGCTTGCGCTGGCTAGCTTGTAACTACCTGTACTCATCGCTGTGTCTGTTTTCGCTTTATCTATGAAAGGTTTTGATCAGGATTCAGCTGCGTCTGGAGGTTTTGGCTGTACGAGGCTGATGTTGCTTTACTTTTTGATCTCGATGTACATATCTCATGCTGTTGTGATCGTACGATTATATGTTTCTTTATCGATTGGCAGGCTTCGTAGAGAGGCAACAGATTGGAATCCTCGAACAGCCAGTGCTTTCATCTTATCGTAAGATCTGTGCATGCTGTCCTTATCGTAACAATTGATGAGATATGCTTCGCACAGCTATTGATTTAATTGTTGTACACTGCAATGCGCTTGTTCCGTGAGCTATTTAAGAGCGCATACTGCATAGTAAAAAAGAGAATGTATTAAATTCCAAGATACGTTACTCTAGCTATTCCCATGTTGGACTGCAGTTCCATCAGAGTACCAGGGGTATCATCAAATAATGCTGCCAGAGTACAGACTCCCAGGAGCGATGATAATCCAGCTAGGATACGGGACATGTTCCTGGCTAATCCAGATCAGCTAGCATTGCTGGAACAGAATAATCCTAGACTGGCTGACGCATTGTTGTCAGGGAATCTAGGTGAGTGGTTACATATTCCATACCAGCATTTGAAGTATTAAAGTGTTTTCTGTAGCTGAATAGTTTCCTGACTTCTCCAGACAGATTCTCTACTATACTTAGAGAGCAAATTAAAGCTAGGGAAGAACGTCAGGCTCAAAGATTGAGGATGATGAATGCAGATCCATTCGACACTGAAGCTCAAAGACTTATAGCTGAGGAAATAAGAGAGAAGAATATTGAGGCCAACATGGAGGCTGCTATGGAATATAACCCTGAGACGTTCGGAACAGTTGTTATGTTGTACATTAATTGTAAAGTCAATGGATTCCCTGTTAAAGCGTTTATCGATTCAGGTGTGTACCAATTTTCCTCCATTTGCATTAATTATTCGCCGGTGAGCGCTAATATGATATGAATATTTGCGTTGAATCTGCGAAACGGATATTGGACTGGAAACCAAGATTATTTTTAAATATTTTTTCCTGACCGTGCACGAGGCAGAACGTCTATTTTTAAATTCTTGCAGTTTGAAAGTCATTCTTTGCAGCGTGATTCTTCACGGAGGGAGCGGTTTAATTTTAGACATTTGCGTCTGCAGACATTCATCGGTATTTTCGTATTTTTAAATGATCTTGATGTTTCTTCCAATGGTGCAATGTACATCGCACCTAACGGAATCACTTTTGCTTTTATGAATCAGGTGCGCAGACCACCATCATGTCTGCCGCCTGCGCTGAAAGGTGCCACATCATGAGACTCGTGGACACCAGGTGGGCTGGTGTAGCTAAGGGTGTTGGAGTCCAGTGCATCATTGGTCGCATACACATGGTACAAATTCAAATTGGCAATGATCATCTGACAACATCGTTCAGCGTCCTGGAAGAGCAACCTATGGACATGTTGCTTGGTCTGGACATGCTGAAGAGGCACCAGTGCTGCATAGACCTTAAAAAGAATGTCCTGAAGATTGGTACTACTGGCACTGAGACGACGTTTTTGGCAGAGGGTGAATGTCTCATAAAACCTAAATAGCACATTATTGACTTAAACATGTTTGCAAAAGTCCAAATTTATTATTTTTAATTCTTATCCTATTTTGCTTTGCGAACTAATCCTTTCAAATGTTTATATTTTGATGAGCTTAACAGTTAATAAATTCATAGAAAGTCTATATTATAATTAATATAACTCCTATGCTTGCTATTAACCTTAGACCTTTTGTATCAGGTGACTTGCCAGAGTGTGCAAGGCTAAGTGGCAACAACGACGAAGTGTTCGATGACAGGGAACTTCAGAGGGCTCTGGAGGACAGTTCTAGAGATGCAAAGAAACAACGTCAGCAGACTGGTAAATATGAATATAATTAATCCTAACTTCTTCATAATTGAAAACAGTTCCTTGCAGATCCCATGCTTTCTAAACCTGTTGTCCTTTCTTTTAGGAGAATCCTAGTCACAAGAATATCCTGTTACCTGCTCGAGTCAATATTCCCAATAAACAGAATAAGTACATTCTTTATGTCTTTTCCTTCTTTAATTTATTTTTTGTAGACGGTCAAGGAACCAGTAACTCTAGCGATGCACCAGCAGTGCCCTCTAATACAACGGCGTCCGTTGAGACAATTCTGCCAACTGATCCGTTCACAGAGGAGACGGTGATAGAGCTCGAGGCGCTGGGTTTCACGAGAGTTCAAGTGATCGCTGAGTTGCGTAGACTTAACGGCGACAAAGCTCAAGCACTCGCCGCGTTGTTCGCGAAATCCTTGAAGTTTTAAAATCGACGATGAGTCAGGGAACTATTTTTAACTCGGGGCAAAGATGCTAATGGAACGGGAGGATTTGTACTTCATTTTTTTCGTAGTGACTTTTATCGTCGACAATTGTACATTCGATGCACCGGGTGACCAACGATGCTCAGATTCAATTAGGTTTCAAAATGCAGCGATGCATCATGTGTATACAATTTCTCCCTTGTTACATGCGCAGATATGGTAAGGACTGGCCTTGTGTGCTCCGCTATCTAAATATGATTATCGCAATACACATAATTTTAAGGGCAGCGTAAGGAAAATTAAAGTGGATAAAAGAAATAGTAATACATTCGAATGTTCCGTTCGTGGGTACGTGGTAGATCGAAGCAAGTGAAATTTTGTACTAGATCCATTCCGGAAATGGAGGGTAGGGGTGTTTTGTTTCGCGAACGTTGCGGACTGAAGAATTAGTGCCTCCATAATTTATTGAAAATTTGCCGGACCAAAGGTTCTGTGAGTTCGTTCTTCTTATTACCTTCTGCGAGGTGACCGTACCCACTTAACATCATTGAACCTACACGATGGACATGCATTTTGTACTGTTAATAACGATTTAGGGTACTTGGTAATTTTCTGTATTTTCTTTATTGCATATTAAAAGATGAAAAATTCGAAGAAGAATATGACGGTCTGCTTTCTCTGATGAATATTGGCTCCTTACACCACGTTAGGGGATGCATAATGAACAAACCATGATTTTAATAAAGAGTATTATCGAATTTATTATGCTTTCTATAAACGTAATTAGAATACATCTGTGAATTAATTCGCAGTAGATACTTTCTGCGAATTTGTTAGCAACTCGTCGTCCGTCCATTTAATTTCCACCACCTTGTTGGTTTTGGCGGACTCCTCGCAAGCCGTGGCTATCTTACAGGCAGCCAAAGTTTCTTTTGGCATCACAGCTAATTCAGTCTTACCAAAAAGGACGTCGATGAAGTGGTCTAATTCCCTTTGGTAGGAATACTTGAATCTACTAGGGAATGAGTAGTGGATCGGAGATTGGGTGATTCCTTGGAGGCCAATTTGTGAAGTGACGCCGTGTAGAGGTCGTTCATTGTCCAAGCTGATCAGTCCCTTGGTACCGTACACCTCGAGACGTTGATCGTATCCGAAGGCACTAGTGCGGGAAGCATCAATCATTGCTATGGTGCCAGATGGGTAGTAAAGGGTTACTGCCACCGTGTCAAAGTCACCCATTTCTTTGATTTCTGGAGTGTGTGCGTGGGCAAAGGTATTAACCTGTTGAATATATTCAGTTCAGTGAAGCAATTGGTGAGATAATGTTTCAAATTTAGTGTCAAAATTCCTAACGTTGGGTCCATCCGAAATTAATAGAGTAGTATCTGTTAAGATTGGAGTTAATTTCATTGAATATTGGAATAATATTGTTATGAAACCTGATCTCATTCTTTTGTCAGACGAAGTATCATATACTATGTTGAGTAATTGTAATATTATAATTTAGATTATATGCTATCAGTTTGGGATAATTTTGTTTGTTTCCTGTCTCTAGCTGTATAATGTGGCAAGTTCGATGATACATTACCTTGCATGGAAGCTCCCCAAGAATCCATGTGATTGTATCGATGTCATGAATCATGCAGTCATGGAAAATACCACTAGACGTTTTCAAGTACTCCATCGAAGGAAGAGGAGAGTCCTTGCAAACAGTTTTGATGATATGAACGTGCCCAACTTCACCGTTCCTGACTCTTTGCTTAATTGTAGCGATACTGGGGTCGAAACGTCTATTGAAGGCACTGAGCAATGGCTTCCCAACTTTCTGGGCAGTTTCATAGCACTTCAGAGTAGTCGTGCGGTCTTCTGCAATTGGTTTCTCACAGAAGACTGCTTTTTTGGCTTCCAAAGCTTGTCTCACGATTGATCCATGAGTATATGTGGGACTTGCCACTAAAACTGCATCTATACTGAATTCAAAGAATGATTTTGGTTATTACTGAATTTATTAAATAGGTTTCTTTCTAATAATATTCATTATTCTGATTTCAGTTTTGAGAGATTAAATCTGGAGATTAACTAATTAGAATAATACGGTTATATTAAAAATATACCTATGACTTTGAAATCTTATTAAAAAATAATAATTTTTATGGCAAATTCTGTTCTCTCTTCTCATGTTCTCCTTAATGTAATTTAGCTATATGCAGAAGTGTTGTTGTATAATAATAAGTAAGGCAGATATGTAAGAAAAATATCTCATCAATTGCTTTTATCTTAATTGCTTCCATTATGTTAATAGAAACATTTTTCTGTAATACTTTTACTGCTGACTAGGTATAATGAAAACATTTAAGAAACATTTAGCGTCCAATGGAAGTAATTTCAATTATAACACAAATTATAACCATTATAATAACTATAATGTATCTAACATATTTAGGAAGATTTCTATTTTTTTCAAATTATGACAGATATCCCAATATATCAACAAATTTTCTTTCTTACATTCATAAGTTATTCTATAAAATAGATTTTCTCTAAATGACGTATTACTTTCCAGAGAAATTTGAGAAAATTTCCAGAATTTTCCACAGATTTATATATGCCTAAGAATTCATACTCTAGCTATGCATACTCTCAAATTGAACTCATCTTCCAGAGAAACTTACTTGGGATCTCGGAACACCTTAGACGATTGTTTACTGTTCAAGAAAGTGACGTCGTTCAGATGCCAGTATTCCCTGATTTTCTCCCAGTTCGATTCTACATCATCAACGATGTAAAGTAACTGGATCCTGCGGTTGGCGATGATGTTGGACAAGTGAGTGCTGCCAGCTCGACCGACGCCGAACAAAGCAAGCTTTACCCTTTCTTTGCGTGCATCTGTCTTCAAACTGATGTTCTCCAAATGCCTGCAATAACGCAACACTGAATATTTCAGAGCTCCACAACTCCCGGAACCATATTCAAGGACCTTGAAGACTTCAGTTGCTCGAAGATTCTACAAGATCGTCCTTGTCCATTAGAAGACAAAAACTCATTGTATTAACTTCTCCATTTATTTAGCACATTGACTGCCACAATCACTGACGACATTAGCTTCTACATTACTTGAATACAACTATAATTAGGTAACCGACATCGGATAGAAATGTTCAATAGCTTAAATAACTAGACAGTGCAGCTTAAGAATTACGGTAACAAACAATTGATAATTATTCTCTTTCACCTTGGCTACAAGGGAATTAGTGGAACATAAAACGCTGCAGTTTTCGGTGGTAGTCAACGTGTTTACTGCTTGCCTTATAATATGTTAGACTTAATATCATAAGATTTTGAAAAGAATTTAAGAAACATAAGTATTACTCAGTTTTTGTGAATACAAACTGAATATTACTCTTCTCATATCAATTATTATTGTTTGGAGAAAATACAGACATAGAATATGTCCAGATAGTTCTCTTTTCTCAATAAATTAAGAAAGAAATCGTTTGGCAAGGGGTTAAATAAGTTCACTTATGCATCTAACCAGCTCAGAAGTGTTTTAACACTAAAACTACCAGACAGTTCAATATGACTAATTTCGAATGTTTACTTCAGGAATTATTAGAGAGATGCAAATGATTTTCTGGAGTATTATTAAATAAATTCCTTGTGTGAAATTTCAGTGAATGAACTCTTATAATTTTTATAAGGAAATTATAAATATTCTGCCTGCTTACTCGGTAGTTCTAGTGTTAATTAAAGAATTTAATTTTTCTATCGATCGTCAAGTGTCAACGTATAACTTACGTATGCGACTCAACAGAGTGATTCCTGTTACTTTTGGTAATGTTACTCACTGTTGATGAAGGAAATCCTGGGCGGGTGGTGAGGGTTGCTTTCTCGCAAACGGCGAGGTGGTGTCTTTGAATTTTGCGGTTGCCATGGTACTGCTGATGCTACTGTACACGAACGGCCCTCAAGTTTGTCAAGCTAGTAGTCAGTGTGACCGGGTATGCTCTTTTATACAAATATGCCGGCCGTCTGGGTAGGGATTGACTGATGATCAGCTGTGACGCAAATTACATGTTCAGGGTGTGTTGTCAGACGTTGCCCATTTATTCTATCTCGGGAACGATACGCGATCCGATATTTTGATAACCTTGTTGTATACAAGTGTATTGCGAATGGGAGTAGTGTCATCGCGATTGCGTAATGGTTGTAGCGTAGACAGGTCTGGAATATTACCGGGTGCTATGGTGATATCAATGTATAGATTAATTATATATTAATCGGCGCTGGTGCTTACACACGTTTCCTCATGTACAATATACACTAGAAATCGCTAGCCCTTTAGATCTATCAGTAGCACTAGCTTCTTGCTGGAGGATATTTCTGGAACCTTATATTGGGTTAGGGTATGCAAGACTTTAAACGGACATAAAGATGTTGCTATCGTTTATTCAGGCTGAGACACTTTATAGTCATAATTCGTCGTTGATCTTGGGAATTGAATTAGGTATATAGCTGACATGATCAGTGTTGCTTTCCACATGAGCAGCCATCTTCGTTATGTCTCTGCCTGGGTCAGGATCCACGAGAGATATGCTCGATCTCACTCCTCTGGAAGAGAAAAGTATTTGTATGATTCCTTTTCTAAGATCGAATATTTGTGATTAATTCGTGTTTAGTTATTTGCCTTCTTTCTGATGCTCCTAGTTCAGTTGATACAGTGAAATTCGAGGATTTCGAAAAATCACACTCCAAAATGAAGGCTGCATCGCCCGGAGTTATTAGATCGTCGTCGTTTTGTAATACCAGAATGTTTTTGTATTTGCTATTGTCCTGTATTTATAGAGGAGTATGCATTTTCAATTTGCTTTTAGTATATTTAGTGAGTATCATTTAGAGATTATTGAAAATGTTGACTATCTTACATTTTGTGTGTTGCACTGGTCAAATGGAATGTTTATAGTGAAATTACCACCGTGATTTGAATCTAGGAAGCATGGGGACTGTCTAGAGTAAAAACTGCCCTGTGTGTATATCACTCCAGAAAAATCGTTAGAGGTTTTCAGATCCACCACCATTTTTTCAGCCCCGCAACGCAAATTCACTCCATCGAATCCATCTGTGGATGCTTCTATTTGCATGTCCATAGATAAGTCTTGTTGCCATATTTCTTCTGCAAAAACGTTCAATGCGTTTCGTGACATTTTTACGGTGTTTATTTGCCACTCAGTTGGTCTCTTTATACGCGAGAAAAACACGACGCTGAGTTTTGAATCGTGAACTCAGAAAAATAGAATATCTTGGCGGCCTGTACATCGAAATACTGTTGCGATGATTAGAGAATGGTCTCGTGTTTAAGCTGAATATGTTTTTGCAATCATATCGCGATTATTTTTTAATCTTTATTAAGAAATGTTCCATTTACCTTGCGAAATTTCTAGTTGAAAATAAAGTTTATTGCTTAGTGAAATTAATTATTGAAAATAAAATTTCTAAATTTATATTTATAAATTAGTGATATTAATTAATGAAAATAAAGTCTATAAATTTATATTTATATATCAGTGACATTAATTATTGAAGATAAAGTTTATAAATTTATATTTCTGTGTTAATGAGATTCATTAGTAAAAATCAAATTTATATATTTGTAAATTAATAAGAATAATTTTCGGAGGCATTATGAATTGTTAGGATATGGGAAATCTTATGGGTTGTAGTATACTCATTTACCAGCCGATTGTTGCTTCAACGTGAGTGTTAAAATAAGTAGGATGAATCCTAGTGTTGATAGCGTGGCGTAGGTCATCTTCAGATGATCGACCGTGAACTGACAACGAGTCAAGTTCATCCATTGGTTGTAGTCCCACTTGTTACCTGGTTCTTACGGTTCCCACTTGTCTGCTGAATACCCTGTTGTTCACCTAATTATCATTTCATGGGGCTATAGATTTCTTCAAATGATGGGATTAGACTAAGAATTTAAACATTAAATAACTTTAAATTAGACATACTATTAATTATAGATTCATCATTTTCTTAAATATTCCATTACATATTATTCGACAATATAGTACATACTATCAATATAAATCCAAGCAGGTTGCATACCTTCAGGATGAACAGTGTCACCGACCCTAGTCTGTCCAAAGTGCAGTAGGATGATCGAAATTCTGTTCGTTTTTTTTTCCGAACCAAGCAAATTTCTTTGATTGCCATTTATTATCCTTCAATTTGTTCAACATATTTTTTTCTATTATTGGATGTGATATGTTTATTTTCTTTGCCTGGAAAGTTTATCAGCTGTGCGCTGCCATCGCGTTATAGCATTATCCGTTTGATGGCGTACACATATCCATATCTGTGTTTCCTACACACAGCTTTGATTTTTAATCAGTATTTATTTTGTAATCACTAGGAGACTCTTTAAAATTATAAATAATTAGCGATTATTTTTTGATAATTATACGCTGTTATGAAATAAGTAGTTTCGTTGTTGTATATGTTTTGCATTTAATATTCAATTTTATCTAGGGACTGGGTTTCAGGTTCTTAGGTACACCACTGTCTCCAGTGTACGCGTGGAAAGGTTCCTGTTTATCCGGTGTATATGTGGCAATTGGCAATAGATTGCCTATCAGTCACCGACGAACTCATCGGACGTTTTGCGTAGAGATTGTTCAGGCCGGTATCAGTTCCAGGGTCTACCGAAAAGAAAGTCATGGCATCTACACGAGTCGGTCAAATTCTTTTTTCCACAACCCTGCAGAGTGTCAGAAAACCATACCAATTTTCTACCAATATTAGATATTATTGTTGTAAGTATTGGTATTCGTATTCGGTGCACAGTTGAAGACTGTGTTTACTCTATTCGAGTTCTGAACATTCCTAATTGGTCTTCATTGTATTGAATTATTGTACATTACTGTTTTTGTTTCTGTTTCATTCAATATTATGTACTTTTCAAAATACATCCTCCTATAGTCTTTGAAACTGTATGTTATGCATGTAAAGAACTCATGAATTCCATATAGTAGAGTTCGTTTTATTTCTTTTTTTTATGATTTTTAGCATCTACATTCTTTTCATACTTTATAAGTGAGTTTATCAGTTTCGTTATCTTTTTCTTCAATGTCATGATATTTTTAAGAGCTTTTGATTATATAAATTTATATGTTATACGCAATATTAGAGTACCCATTAACCCACTAAATATTAAAGACTGATTAGTTGATAATTATTTGATAATTATTCATGAAGGTATTAAGTTTTATTACTTTTTGCTTCTATTATTGATACATTCACTTACTTGCCTACTTTAGATATGTTATATAAGTACTATACAGTAGCACAATAAATTCACAGTAAATTTTGTATTTTGTTACAATAAATTCTCTAGCATTAAATATTTTGGGCTATAAAAAGGCTGACATCATATATTGACCAAGTTATTTTGCATATAGGTCACATTAAAAACTATGAGTTCATCAAGGTTGAGACAACAGGGGAGAAAAACAATGTTGGTTTGATTACCCTGAATAGACCAAAGGCATTAAATGCTTTGTGTGATGGTTTGATGACTGAGGTGAATGATGCTGTTTCCAAGTTCGACAAGAATGATAGCATTGGGGCCATTGTACTTACAGGCAGCGAGAAAGCCTTTGCAGCTGGTGAGTCTTCTGTTGGAATTACAATTTCTTCTGAAATTGAACTCATTGCAATCCAATCATTCAGGGGCTGATATAAAGGAGATGCAGAACAACACATATTCCCAGACAATTAGAGGCAACTTCCTGACTAGTTGGGATGGAGTATCCAAGGCTAGAAAGCCTATAATTGCTGCAGTGAATGGCTACGCTGTATGTTGTAAAACATAAAATGGAAATATACTTTCTTAGTACATCATCATCGTATGACTTATTAATAAATTAGTATCAAAATTCAGCTAGGTGGTGGCTGCGAGTTAGCTATGATGTGTGACATAATCTATGCTGGTGAGAAGGCTAGGTTTGGTCAACCAGAAATTGCCATTGGAACAATTCCTGGTGCTGGTGGCACTCAGAGATTAACCAGAGTTGTTGGCAAGAGCAAAGCAATGGAGATGGTACTGACAGGAAATCAGATCACTGCTGAGGAAGCAGAAAAAAGAGGTTCATTCGTCGACATAAATGAAAATGACCAATCTCAAATATTATTTCTTACTTACATAATTGTTTGTTAACAGGTCTTGTCAGTAAAGTCGTCCCAGCGGATCAGTTAGTTACAGAGGCAGTCAAGTTGGGTGAAAAAATTGCCTCTCATTCACAGTTGATCGTTGGCATGGCCAAGGAAGCTGTCAATACTGGTGATTATCATAATTTCTTACTAATTCAATTGTTCTAATATTTTCTAATTTTTCAATTCTATTCTTTAAAGCCTATGAAACAACCTTGCAAGAAGGACTCCACTTTGAAAAAAGAACGTTCCATGGTACTTTTGCAACGGTATGCATATCGCATTTATTTTGCTATCGTGTAATTATAATATCTACGAATTACCAATGCAAATTTCAGGCTGACAGGAAAGAGGGGATGACAGCGTTTATCGAAAAGAGACCGCCCAAATTTACAAACGAATAGACGATATTACTGTTATCTCGAATTGGGGTATAATTGTGTAAGTGATCCTATTTTTGTATTACCACTTTTTTTGTACCTACAGATAAATGTTAATATACACTTGTTATCGAGGATATTATCTCAAATAAATTTTTCTACTTATTCTAAAGAGGAGAATAAAAACTGTTTCGAGATGAACTTTTATTTAACCGCTATCTTTACATTCATGTGATTTAATTATGATACATTTACAGTTAGCATTGCAGTTGATACATCAGGTGAATGATTATTGTTAACAGTTAGTTACGGTGATTCTGTTAAAGCGTTCTGAAGTGAACAGTAGGAACAATGGAATTTCATGACAACATGTACAATAAATATCAAACTTACAATGCGCAGTACCCTTTTCGCTTTTGTCCTCGTCGTGATTCACCCACTTGGAGTATTAACGAACAGATTTCTTTTTCTCATCGACACACCGAAAGACGTAATTGCACTTCATTAAATAAATAATTCGAAAATTCGTTACACAATGAACAGGTCGAATTCACAGGATTGATCAGTATCGAATTGTTGCTTTGTTGTTCTTCAATTATTTGTAAAATCTGCTGACTAGCTAATACTAACAATGTACAAGGTATGATGAAAGAGAGCTGTGTGTGTGCACATTTAACGATCCATAGAAATTACTCCACCGGGATTTCCTCGTTCTTAGAAATTACAAAAAGAAAAGAGACTCAAAACTAACTATACTTACAGACTAAATATATTGTATACTAAGTGTTCGCTGTTTTCTCTTAACAATTAATTAAGTACACACGAAACGTTCCATGCAACGTCGCGGGACCACAGGATCCCGAATCAGCTTCCGGGTTGTTTAATTTTAAACGCATGTATTTACAAAAAGTCTTGTTATTCAAAAATTCGTGTAAAAAGTGTTTACAAAAGTTCTCTTTCTAAACGTAGCCTGAAAACATTCGAAATATATGATATGCTTTTGACAGTGTTGGTGACTTTTTGATTATCCATTTTCGTTGAGTCTCTTAAGTGTTATTTATTATTGGTCCTTGCTCCTTCGGCGTTGGAACCGGAAGCAAACTCGGGATCAACAGAAGAAATACGGGAAGTGCGCTGTTCACACGGTATAGTAAACTCGATTTCCTCTTGTTTTTTTTCTTTTATGTATATCACAGTTGCAAGCTCTGCTCGAATAACGAAGTTGGTACAGTTACGGAAAAACGGGAATAGAATGAGTGTCGGTACACATCAGGGAAATCGGTCGCCGGGAGAGCGGTTTACCGCTTGTTCCGGTTCTTCATGGTGAAACGTCTCCAGAAGTTGCCGCTCTTCTTCGACGGCGTCGCCACTGGCGTGTCGTAGGGGTAGCTGGACTCTTCGTCGGTGTCTTGGGCACTTGGTGTCTCCCTCGTTGGCGAGCCACCGTGCCCTGAATCTCTGTCACCGTCTACCACATTTTTTTCTAATCCTGAAAATAAACATTTGTAGTATTAATTTATTTGTTTTTAGAAACGCAACGTTCTCTAGTAATTGTTTGTTTATTTCTTTAACACCTTGTCCTACAACGAATCAGACTCGTAGCGAAGATCCTCAACATGATTCAACAAATATATATATTACTCAATTTATTCGAATTCGAAGTAAATATTGTTCCACTGTAATCAACTATTATACTTAAAAGGAAATATAGGCATAACATATGCTTAAAATTTTTCTCTTTTTCCAATAAATTATTAATGGCAAAGTAGCCGTATCGATCAGAGTTGAGAAAGAAATCATAGGCCAAGGGGTTAAAAACAGAACCTTCTCTACTAATAATTTGTTTATATTTTTTTAAATAGAACATTATTTAGTAATAATAATTTTTCTTCGGAACCTGATTATTTTTAGAGGAAGTATATTATTTCTCACAAAAAACTTACCTATTTTTATAAAAAAATTTAATTATTTTTGAATAGATATCTATTTCTACAAAAGAAGTCTAATTATTTAGGCTTAAATTAGTGTGTTGCGTTAATGTTTTCAAATGTTTTATGCTTTAATGGTACTTTGAAGTATGTATCTCTTTCACCGAGATGGTCGTATGATGAAATTATTTGTATCTTTAACAATTTGATTCGTTTCATACTGTCTGACAATCAGTTGGATCCTTTTGTTACAGATAAGTAATACACCTGAAATCATGGCAACCAGAGGCCCAGTTTTGTTTTTCATACTTGAATTTGACCCTTTGCACTCGAGTGGTGACTCTCAGTCACCACTTGATTTCATATAACAAAACTATAAAGTCGAATGTTTAGTACCTTAAATCGAACTTTGTATTGCTATGTAAAGTATTTAAATAAAATAGTTTCGTTGCTTAATTTACGTGTAAATCATCGTTAGATTAGCTTCAAACAATGTCGTCTATATCTCGTCGGAAAATGTTCGATATTTCCAGTGAAAAACTTTCGAGTGCAAAGGGTTAATATACTACATGACAACCGATTTTAAATATTATCCAGAAAAAATATTTTCTAATCATTCTTCCATAATTGTGCTGGTTATTTTCACTGAAGTCTCGTAAATAATTCACAAAGAGTCGTAAAAGGAATTCTCGTCGCAGAAGAATGGACCATCTATTTTTAACGGTGTTCGTCGAATATACTCGTCATTGCCTTTAATTACACACGCAAATAAAGTATTTTCAAATGAAATTCCACCATTAACCCTTTTGCTATAGTGTACGAGATTTCTCGGTTCCACGACGTCGAAGAAACGATACTATGGACGAAATATCTCGTCATTATGATGTCCGTGTAGAATACAGAGTATTTTATATTTATTATACTTAAGCACCTTCCACCAACGATGAAATGTCTTAAAGATCGATTACTTGTGTCAAATTTTCAGATAAAACACTTCATATCAATAATGAAGGTATACGAGACACCTTGCTCACAGTGTTGCACGACGAAATCATAGTGACGAGATATCTCGTCCATCGTAGCGAAAGGGTTAAATAGTGTTCCAGTAACTCCGACGTTCATAGCTGAAAGGTAATTAATTTTTTGACATGTCGAGTATATTCGTCATTACACAAAAATTGGTCATTGTTTCATGACGAGTATACTCGTCGTTACACCGAAATTCAGCATTTCCCATGACGAGTATACTCGTCGCGTTCTCATCGAATACTCATCAAACACCTGGAGTTATAGAGTGAAAAGGGAAGGAAACAAGAGTGAAATTATTTATGAGACAACCAAATAATCTTGATTGCCCACCTCCGGCGCGCAGCATATCGAGGAAAGTGTTCTCCGCGTTGCCACGCGTGCGTCCCTGCTTCTGCGAGGGTGTACCGAAGCTCAGGCTCTGAATATTGATCTCCGCCTTAAGCTGCTCCGGCGGTATATCGTCCACGCGGAATTCGTTCGGGTCCTCGACGAACGCCTGCTGCAGGTCGCGCATGATCTTCTTGCGGATCGTTTTCTTCATGGACAGGTGTCTCTCCAGGTGTTTCACGTCGCTCTCCGTCAGCGTTTTGCTGTTATCACGGCGACGTGACTTCTTCTTCTTGCTGTTTTTAGGGCTCTCCTCCTCGCCGGACGTCGAGCCGACGGACACCGCGCTGTCGTGACCGGCGGCCTTCTCCTCGGCCTGCAATCGGGTGTTCTCCCATTTGCTACCGAAACCGAAGATATCCCTTAAGTGAGGGATGTTCCGGTCGGCTGTCTGCTGCCTTGCCATCTTTTCCCTGCGCTGTTCGAGGCCTATCGTTGACTGATGATTTTCTCGACCTGCTGAGAAGAAATTGATATTTGTTGAATATTTAAATAATATGATATTAAAATTGAATATTATTTTAAGAATAGAGTATTGTAGTTAAATGACATTTCAATAGTGGAATATTAAGGTTAAGTAATAGCAGATATTATAATATTGAATTAAGATTAGGATTAAGTAAGAGAATATTGAATCTTAATCTATTGGTTGATTCAAGGAATAATGGTTCTTGCGCTTCGTTTTTTAATATTAAGATCTACAAAATTTCTTCTAATCGAAAATTTGCTTTACTCCGTCCCCTGTAAATCACGAAGTAGAATTTATTTTGAATTAAGAAAACATTTATTTTTAATAATAAAGGAAGATTGCTGCATTATTTATTTCGTGGTAAGTTGTACCTTAAATGTGTGTTTTGTATTTTGTTCTAATTCAGTAATTGTTTGTTTAATTTTTATATAATATTAATGTTTAATATTTTTTATTTTGGGCAGTGTACGTAGAAAGCAGATACTCGAATTGATTATTCAAAATTTGATGCGTAACGAAGCAAAGAATAATGGATTGAAACGATACTAAATTCGAAAATCTTATCGGTAAGAGTCGTAAAGGTTCGGCGAGCTTCGTAAATATCTGCGATTTTTCTGGGTCGAAATCCAAGTTGACTTGCAGTCTTACCCGCGCCGTCGCGGAGTCATTATCTTCGTACGATTGTCGTTTTCTGACATAGCTTTTACAGTGATCACAGTGCAGTATTGTTACAACAAAACTATTTAATGATTCAAAATTGAAGGAGTGTATTTAATTCATTCTGTCAATTATTTAACTATATCTTATTGTTAATCTATGCTGAATTATCTGTTCTTTAATTATTTTGTTGACATTTTCTTGCTAGTTTTAAATACTTAACAGTGTATCGACAATATCAAATTTAAATCTCATTCGCAGTTTAACTTTAAACGAAGCATTTCCATAAGTTTCAAATTGTTTTTCACAGTTTTTTTGAGATACTGAAAAACCATTTTTATATTTCTATGTGACGAAACTATTTATTATTTTATGTAGCAGCTTGTATTTATCAAGATTGCATTAATAATATATAGAATAACATTAATGTATTTTTAATGTTCAAATGTAATTAATATATTATCACAGTATAATATACTTCTATATAATACCGTATTACACAATTATATAATTTTCTGTTACACAAAGTGTAATATTTATAGACATAATCGTATTACATTTTATATTTTTATCGTACATAATATGACAATATTGTAATACCATTTTAACATTTTTATCCAACCACTAAGTGTTTCATTAACCCCTTGCCCTATAATTTCATTCTCAACTATGATCGATACATTACTTTGTTATTGACAATTTATTGAGGAATGAGAAAAATTCTGGGCATATTCTGTACCTGTATTAGCTCCAAACAATAATAATTTATATCAGAAGTGTAATATTCAATTTGTGTTCACAAAACCTCAGTAATACTTACGTTTCTTAAATTCTGTTTAAAATCTTCTAATGATATTATAGTCTGTCATGATATTATGTCAAGAGGTAAACACCTTGACTACCACCAAAACCTGCAGCGTTTTATATTCCACAAATTTCCTTGTAACCAAAATAAAAAGGAACAATTATCAATTATTTACTACCATAATTTATACCGCCATATTATATTCGACGCAGTAAAACTGTAAAATCTTTACATTTAACCCTTTACACTCCAAAGGTGCCTCTCAGTCAGCACTCGATTGATGCATCAAAATTGTAAAATTCTGTATTTAACATTAAGTCTTGAGTAATCTGTCGATGCGTGAAATGGGGAAATAAAATACCATCGTTCTCCTTATTTTGTGAACAGATTCCTCGTTAAGTTAGTTGAAAGAAATGTCATCTATATCTCATAAATATAAATTGAATATTTCTAGTGACAAGTTCTTGGAGTGCAAAGGGTTAATACTAAACTTCGTATAATACCTCGATACGTGAAATATTGTAATGAAACAGCTTTGTTCCTCAATGTACTTGTGGTTTCTGTTCCAGTTAATTTCAAAGAATCTCGTTTTTGTCTCGTCAAAAAATTGATAAATACTTCTAGTGAGAAACTTCCTAGTGTAAAGGGTTAATCTACACTGTCTAGTTTTAACCCTTTGCACTCGAGAGGTGACTCTCTGTCACCACTTGATTTGACACAGTAAAACTATAGAATGTAATATTTAATGTTAAACTTTGTATAATGCCTCGATGCGTGAAACATGGGAATAAAACAGCTTTGTCCTTCAATGTACTAGTGATTTCTCTTCGAATTAGTCTCAAAGAACATCGTCTTCGCCTCGTAAAGAAATGTCAAATATTTCTAGTAAGAAACATCCGAGTGCAAAGGGTTAAGCCATTCATTCTTTCTATCCAATATCGGTTACTGTCTCGCGCACCATTACGAAGCAAGGAGTAAAAATGATTTTCTCATCTGGTCCTCTTAAAGAACCCTTCTCAGAGGATCCGGGAGATCGATTCAGACATGGGCCTCAAGGCGAAAAAGAGGCACAAAAGGAAACCGTGTTTACCGGTCCCCGAGTGTCGTCGACTCGTTACGACATTACGGTCTAACGGTCCGGTCGTCGTCGAGGGTGAATCTTTTTCCTTTTTTTTCCCTTCTCCGCGGGCTGAGCCTCGGGATCCGGTGGGGCCACTCGATTTCTTCCCGGTGCCGATTAAAAGGACCGCTGGAAAAGGAAACGCCGCGGCGCTGCGACGCGACGATTTGTATTTACTGTAACGGGAACGTGACGAGGCGTATCCGATATTATCCGCGCAATTTAACGGCGCCTGGAAAACCGCACGCACACCGTACTCTAATTATTAGGTGCAACAGGTTACCCGTTTCAACGACACATGCGCTTTTACTTTGTTTTTTTTCCCCCGCCTCCCTTAAGGCGGCACGCAATGCTGCGTCGCCGGTAATCCGTTCAGCTGGGAAGTGTTCCTTGCGGAGATGTTGCTTTCGAGAATAAATTGAGTAACCTTCTGTGGGCGGGTTGGATAATCGATAAATTGTGAATTCACGTCGAAGGGTAATTTAGTTATGTTTGGTTTCTGGTAACTGACATTATTCGTTTGTGTTTCGTGGGCAATTTGATGTTCAGCAGGTAGTGTATGTAGTGGTTCCTGCTAAGTTCGTTCGTTTTTTATTAGTTTATGTATTGTGAGTTAACCCTTTGCACTCGAAGGACGCCTTACAGTCGCCACCTGATTCGACGCAGCAAACTTTCAAACTTTCAATTGAATATTAAACCTTGTGCAATGTATCAGCACATGAAACATCGAAGTAAAATAGTTCTGTCTCTTAATCTATATCAGAAAGTAACGAATATTTTTAATGAAAAATATTGTCGAGTGCAAAGGGTTAATATCCTGTTTATTCTTTTAGGGTAATTTGATGTTTAGCAGGTAGAGTATGTAGATATTGTACAGGTTCTTGCTAAGTTGCTTTGAGAGTTCTTTGGTTTAGATACATTTATGTTTTTCATTAGTTTACGTATTGTGAGTTAATATCTTGTTTTTTTTTAAGGTAATTTGGCGTTTAGAAAGTAGTGGAGTATGTGAATAATGTCTTGCTTGTTTCACAGTAGTTTTGGGAGTTTCCTTACGTGTATTTGTATTTTTATATCTTTATTGTGCATTATTTTATTAATAGTTCATATAGAAATATATAATTAAACATAAACTTATACTGCTATTAATGTTGATAATTTTTTCGTTTTATAGGTTAATGTAAAATTGATAAGCTTTATATTTTCGTGGTATCTCCAAAGTTTTATCATTTGAGGAGACATACCTGTATATTAAGAGTATTTTAAGTTTCTTTTGTGCTACTTTCACTAGAAAGAATTTTTTGGTCGACCAAAGAAATTTTTCATGTATTTCGAACTTTTATCAAATATATTCTAGTCATTGCCTATTTTATTATGGAAAAGGTTATTGAAGACCATTTTAGAATGAAGCTAATATTTCATTTCATTTTCCTCTGAAAGAGTCCTCAAGAATAAAACATTTTGTCTGTGCACTGTCATAATTTAATCTCTCATTAGTTATATATTATTCAGTTCAAAATGCACCTGTATCAACTTAATACATAAATCCATTGACAAAAATAACGTTCCCATATCCATAGAAGATCCTTATCATGAATCTAGAATATCACATGCATACATATATGTATATATATGTCATTATCTTCTCATATACTTTAAGCACAATGTTTATCATTACTTAGAAAGGTCACTACGATTGTGTAACTGCAATTCCAGCTATCTGAACAATGAACGCCCATAGCAGACGCAAAGTGAAAGGGATCAACAAAGAACACACATTTACATTTAACAAAAATGCACCGACAGTAATACCCCAATGAAACGAAACAAAGTAATTACTCTCCATTCTTCTTCATTCCGAAACAATAAATTTCCTGTATTCTTTTCGGAATGTCCGTTCGCGACAGGATGTACGGAATAGCGAAGGCAGTTAGTGTTCGGGGCGCAACGCGCGCCTACGCTTCGCATATTAACACTTTGTAGGCGGCCGCCATTTTCTATGTTTTCGAACGTGTACCAGGGAAATCCAGTTTTTACATATGTCAGTCAACTTGATAATGTCCACGATGCTATTGATTTGAGAGTACTTAATTTTGTATAAACGTTTTCTTTTTGTAGGAATAAAAGAATTTATTTTACAGGTAATTAGTATTTAATTTGATTTTTCTGGTGTGTCGTAGACGATAATTATCGAAACTTGATTGACGAGACATTAGACATTGATTGTGGAACACAGCTATTTTAATATTTCATTTTTCAAAACGTGATATTAATTAGGCTGTGATATTATCAAATACATGAAATTAATTGTAATGTAAAATTAAGAATTATATGAAATTAATAAATATGCGTAATTAATTAAAATATAAAACTAATAAATATATGCAATTAATTGTAATATGAAAGTAGTA